CAGGTGCCCAGGCACTGCTATGACTGACTTCTCAAGAAATCAGACCTAAGACAAATTTTTCAGTCCTGTCCCTTGCTCTCAAGCCTCTACCACTATCTGTCAGCGATAGTGGTGATGATCTCGGCAAGCCAACACGGCTTGGGTGGGTGAGTAGGTGTATGGGTGGATTTGCAGAAATGTGGGTGCTGACACCTAAGTGGATTTCTTTTGCGTTTGCCCTCTGTGGCCTCATCGGTGGTTGGTTTTGGTCAGTTCTTCTATGGCTAGGGTTCAGTAAGGGCTTGGTTTGGGTTTTGGCAGCTGGGTTATGAAAAGATTCTCCATGTTGCTTCTCTGCTGCCTGTTCCTCTGTTGGTTTGAGGAGCGGAGACTCCCTGGAGGTGAGGTTTTGCAGTCCAAGGAGCGAAGGTCACTCATGGTCCCTGCCGTGGCTCGGTATGCTCTTGCTCCTCGGGGTAAGAGCAACTTTTGTCCTTGCTCAGCGGGACAGGAACCTGAGGCCCTATAAGGAAGTCGCGTGGTGCCGGGGTGTTTGGATGGTATGCGCTCCTTTGCGAGCACACTGAAAGGATGTTTGTCAAACCAGTTGCCTCCTGGATCTTTTGATATGCTGCCTTTGTGTGGTTTGAACGAACATCTTATCACCTTCATCTCCCCGCTCTTTGCAGAGCACTTACTTGAGTAGAAAACACACGAAGGCTGAAATTTGAATCTTAAAAATTGCAGGTTCTTCCCCTTGTTGCCCCAATTTCTACAAAGACTTTCTCCGGCTGCTCCCTCTCTCAGCTCTGAGTTTCTATCTTTGGCTCCCATATGGGGTGTAGAGGAGGCAGTAAAATCTTGCAAGCTAAGGATAGTTAAAACCCAAGATTTCTTCTGTAATCTAAGAAAAACAGACACTTTCATTGGAGGAGCAGGTACCATGCGTGCACTTGCTCCACTGCGTGGCACAGCTGCGTATCCAGCTCCTCCGCTGCAATGGGGGTGCATCTCCCAAAGCTCCCGTGCTGCCTGTTGCCCACTGCCCGTTTTGAGGATGAAATGGAGGAGGCAGAAAGCTGAGGTGTAGCTCAAGGGAGATGATGACCTTGCTGGGGTGCTTGTATGAGGATCTTGCCCTGAAAAAAAGCTCTGGTTAAAATCCGTTTGCTTTCGTTCCCAATTAAGTGGGTTTCCTTCTATTGCAGCATCAGCCCGAGCTCCTTTTTTCTTTAGTCTCATCAGGCTGCTTGCCCTTTTCTCCCCAGTGCTCTAAGCCTTACCCCAGGAGCAAGCCAAACACTGAGCTATCTCCTCACACTAACCTGTGAGTTAGCATCTCTGCAATGGAGTCCATGTCCCTCCACCCGTTGTGATTGCCAGCAAACCTGGGCAGTGTGTTCATGAGCTGATCCCGTGGGCCAAGGGGCTTGTTTTTCCTCTCCCGTTTCCTGCACGGGATGCTCGGCCAGCAGCCTCAGAACAATCGGGGCAGGAAAGGGCGTTATCCTGCTGTGAAGGTACCCGGGGGCTTTCTCCAGTGCTGGTGGAGCGGTACCTTGCTTCCCTGCTGCAGGGTCCCCTCTGGGAAGGTAGAGGACTTTCAGCCAGGTCCTTTCCTGCCAACGGGCATCTCGAGGAGATGCTGCTGGGATTTGCTATCATGGAGGGGGAGATCTCAGTTTATTACATGGCTGCCTGGGTTTCCTCTCCTGGGGGGAGGTGGGGATTAGAGCAGGGCAGGATGCTGGCTGGGGGGGTGGTGCCTCCCCAGGGCATCATGATGGAGCTGTCTGGGGTGGGCAGGCAGGGGTTTGCCCTGCTGGTTGGATCGGAGGTGGCCGGTGTCCCAGGAGGGGGTGGTCTGATTCGCTTCACTACTTCATTTGGCAACACCAACTTTGGACTTGATCTTTGAGCTTTTCCCCTCTCTAATGGTGGTTGTCCTGGGCTCCACCACTACAGAAGGAGATCAGAGAAGTCCTTTGGATGTTAAAGATAGGACTCATGTGGACCTTAATAAAAGAAAAGCACTTTCCCTTGCAGAAAAGCCTCTGTTACCCCCGATTCAGCTTCTCATGTGCCCTCTCCCAACCATGTGGGAACTGCTACTGGCTTCAGGCATCTCCTCGACTTGGCTGCTGTGTGCGGAGGGACCTTCTGCTCCTCGGGCAGCATCATCCTGAGCATGAAGGAGTTGAGATGTTCTCCTTTGCTCTGATACTGAGCAGGAGAAAAACCCTGAAAGGGAAAGGTTCCAGGGCAGTGAAGGCAAGTGGGGGAACCACAGTCTGTCCCAGCTGAGTGGAAAGCCCGTGTCATGGAGCTGTGACACCCTGAGAGTTCTCTGTGGTCTCGGGCTTCACAGCACAGCAGGAAATTTTTTTGGTGGTGGTGGGTTTTTTCATCTTCTTTGAAAACTTTGGGATTTTTGCAAACCTTGTGCCTCAAAGAAGGACAAGTGAAAATCTAAAACCAATGATCAGCAAATTCCCACTTTCTGCCAAGGGATAAATGTTTACCTGTTTGATGTTAGTTATCAGGAACATTTTAATTCATCTGTCTACATTTTAACTGTGACAAACAGAGATGAATGAAGACTTCTAACTAAGCAATCTCAGATGGAAATTCTCCAAAGATCTTGCGGACAATTTCACAAATAGTCTTAAGATACTTTCCAAACTGAGCTTTGGTGTGCTATGCCTTTTCTCACTTGCTTTAATCATTATTTTTTTGTCTTGTTTGAAAGTTATCAGGTGTCTTTTGGGCAATCGGGCCTTCTGAGGGGGTAGGTTCAATTTTGCCCCGTGCCCGTGACGTTGCTAATTGTTGGCCATTTGTCAAAACCAGGGCAAAACCTCAAGGCAAATTGGTTTCCCTCAGGACATGGGATTATTAGAACCAGAGGGCTTAAATGTTGTCATCGCTGTGGCTGACAGTGCCATAACGTTACCGGCATCATGTAATGTTAAAGAGAGCAAGCCTTGCTCTCTGCCTGCCTTGTCCTGAAGCTGTTTGCGAGCCAGCCACCTCCTTGGGCTCTGATCAGTGCAGTTGTGGTTCCCAGTTCCCTTCTTGGTCTCTGTCAGTTCCTCTTGCCACCTTCGTCAGGGTGGTCTGCAGATGCACCCTGCTGATGACAGGCAGCCGTCCTGCGTGGGAGAGACAGAGAGGAAGGTGTTTCTTGGAACACGCGATGGTAGATGTTTGTTTTGGTTGGCCAGCTATGTGTATGGACCAGAGTGGTGTGAGATGATGGGGACTCTGTCTAGGTGAGATCTAGCTATCTTCTTGCAAGAAGTCCCTACTGACTGTGCTGATACTGCTGGTGGCAGGAGGATGGCATGCAGGGCAAGGAATGTGCCTGGAGAGCTGGAGATTTGCCTTCCTCTCCCAGCTGTGCTAGAAGTCACTGTGGGACAGCAGAAAAATTGCTTAACTTTTCCAAACATTGGCTTCGCTGCCTCTTAAATGGTGACTGTATGGTTTGCATGGTGTTTGGAGGCTGCTTTTAAGGTGCAAATTCACTGGAGAAGGAAAACTGATCTCATCTGAGACAACATCCAGGGCTTGAAGTCTCATAGCTAGATTTTGTAGGGCTGGGGTCCGATGCATGAGTGAGGTGTGGTGGGATAAAGCCCTTCTGCTTCCTTTGCTCAGCTCTTGCTAAGACTTTGCAGTGCAGGAGTGGCAGTTGATCTGGCCATACTTTTCCATGTGCAATATGCTCTCTGAAGAGAGGTGGTTAATGCTTTGTCCAAAGGTGATACTTGGTTGTTGCCTGAGGATGTTCCCCACAACTGCTGTGGTGTCCCCTCTGTTCCTGCCTCCTAGGAGCAATATCTCTAGGTGCTTCACATAGGGGCTGAACAGATGTGTGGGCACGGTGTTGCGTTGCCTGCAGAGCTGCTGTCAGGAGAGTTGTGACGGTCCGATGTTGGAAAGTCTCTTGTTATTCTCCCTGCTGTTTTGTCTCAATTGGTCCATCAAAGCCCTTCTCTCTTCCCTGGGTGGTGGTTGTGCTCTCTCTTGAAAGTGTTATTGACACCTGGGGAGAAGGCAGGGAAACCCACATCTTTTGCAACGTGTTGCTCTGCTTGGAAGTACGCAGAGCAGCAGCCAGCCTCGGTGACGAGGGTGTCCCCAAAGGCTGTCGGAGCATGACTGCTCACAGCATTCACCCTGAGTGTGTTGTGAAACATGACCACAGGCAGTTCACCACAGAAAACTGCACTGTCCTTTCCACCTGCTCCAAATACCTTGCACCTTGCAATTTTGTCAAAGCAGCTCTAGGTTTAGGAGCTCTTTTGATTAAAAACCTTGACCTCAACACTTGTTTTTCTTAGTGTTCTTGAGATGCTTAACAGAGCTCCTTGGAAAGTCTAATTACGTCCTCCAGAACTGTCCCCTGCCTTGTCATTTTGCTCAGTGTGGGTGGGAAGGAAGGGAGAGTTTGGGGAATAAACAGTAGAAGAGGCTGAAAAGTTTCTGCTCAGCTGTGGTGGACAAACTGAGTCCTCTCCCATGAAGAATGCTTCCATAAGCACTGCCTTGGGAGAAGAGGTTTAGATTCATGTGTGGTCTGTAGCACACCAGGGAAAAAAAACCCCAAAGACTGTGTTTTGTGGTTTGAAAGTTATGGTAATGTCTTTGCCATATTTTGTCCTTAAATTCCCTGGCTGTTCTGTGCTGGGATATGAGAGGCATCCAGAAGGGATGGCTGGGCCAGTACGGGGCTCGCCCCAAGCACGCAGTGAGGAGCGTGTTCCCCTCTGAGGACCAAGCTGTGCTCTAAAACAAGCTGACGTGCAGGGAGGTGTATTGTGTGAGCTGGGTGTTGTAAAGGGTGCTTATGAGTCATGCTGTGCTCTTAGTCACTGCTTTCCTCTTGCCCACAAGTCATGACTAAGGTGCTGATGTGCAGATTCCCCGCTCATTCAGTCCTCAGCACCGTGGTGGAGTGTTTCTCGGTGTTCCTCGCGCATACATTTGTGGATGGATAAAACTTTCGGTGAAGACCATAATAATAGGCTGTGGCAGCGGGACACGAGAGGCAGGAGCCCATGAGCCTCTTTGGGGTAAAGAGAGAGCTTGCATTTGGCAGGTCAGTGGTTCCTCGTTGTGTGTTTGCTTTGACCCGTTTGGAGTCATTGATGGCTTCTCTCCAGCGTAGGGAGGACTGAGCGGCAGGGCTGGAGCTGGCCTTGCTGCTCCCTTGGCTCTTGGGGGAGCCCCAGCAGCTGGGCTCGATTTTACTGAGCCCTTTTGGGGGAATTAAGTGTGAGTGGAGGTGGCCATGCTGAGTGCACCAAGCAGAGGGACCGGGTGGAGCCTCTGCCAAGATCACAGCAGCTTCTGCTCCTGCCAGGGTGGAGGTGGGGAGCTGTGATGGGCACAGCCACCGCTGAATACTGAACATCAAGCGTTGACCAAATAAGCGGAGAAGCGAACGTTTTGGGTTAGCTTTGGGAACTACGTGAGTGTGTGGCATAGGCACAGGAATGTGCTGTCTGGGATGAAAGCAAAGACCTCCTTGGCAGGTGGTATTTGTAGCACTGGCAGGCTTTATTTCTTCTTCCTGCGTTATTTTTGTGGATTTGTGTTGCCTCTGACCAACAGGCAAAGAGCCTGTGGGATGGACCCATCCCTGTGGTTTGGGAGAGGAGAGACACCTGCCCCAGGGTCCCTCTGGATGCCAGGGCTGGCGCTGCAGGGGAGGAGGGGATCTCTGCCTGGAAACCTGTTTGATTGCTCACAGTGGGGGCACATTTGGGAATTAAACCTTCTGGGCAAGTTGCTTGTATTTTCATGGTGTCCCAGACAGATGCATATGAATAGGGTGGGACAAAATCTTCCTCCCCCCAACACAGTCTCTGCCAGCCCAAGGTTTAGGTTTGCACCATGAGCCGTGGAGGAGAGGTGAGATGTACATAGCCATGTTGTGAAAAGGTTGCAGCCAGGCATGCAATCCGCAGTTTCACAATGTCCTCGGATGTTGGGACTGAGGTCCCCTCTGTATTTTCCTGCATTGCCACAGGGGCACGTGGACCTTTTCTTCATGTTGGCTGTGTGGCAGCAAGGTGACAGTGCTGGAGGCTTTCCTGGCTGGTACAAGGTTGGCACTTGGGAGTGGGTTTGTGACCATTGCCAGTGGACACGAGCTGTCAAGGACAATCCATGCCTAACGCAAGGAGCAGGAGCTTGGGCTCTGCTGTCACTTTTCCCAGGTTGGACCGGATGATCTTTTGAGATCCCTCCCAGCCTCGGCTGTTCTATGATTCCCATCTGAGTCCATTGCAAGGTGCTGCAGCTGTAATCTCTTGCAGTGTTATCTTCGATGGAGGCTAACCCAAGATTACCTCCTTGCCACAAACACGTGAGCGTGACTTGATCTGCCCCGCAGACGGAAGTTGTGAGAAGGCAGATATGCCTGCAGCAGGTCAGGGGAAGGATGCCTTGGCCCCACAGCCTCTTGTGATCAGGTTGTGGACCTGTGCACCTCCTTTCCTTTGCCAATGTTGAGAGGGATTGGGGGAGCAGAGAGGAAGATGACAGCAGAGTGGGGTGCATCGTTGGCTTTAGGGTTGGCAAGGGTGACAGGAGGCACTAACAGGGTGATGCTTCGCCAGGAGCATCTTGTCTGCACTGCAGTAGAAGCGTTGCGGTGCTCTCTTCCTTGCACTTAACTGAGGGCCTGGTATGATAACTTTCTTCCTTCTTTCTCTTTAGGAGATGAATTAAAATGCAGCACACCACGTGCACAGAAGACAGGATCTACCATGCACTGGAAAGATGTCTACATGGGCTTAGCAGAGATGCTGTCTCCAGCAGATGGGCTGGTAGGTGACCTGTTAACCACAAGCTTGTTCTGTCTGTATGATCTGCTGGCCTACCTGGGCACCTAGGTAAGCGAGAGCTGCTGGTGCTACTGGAAGCTCAGAGGCCTTTTCTCCCTTCCAACGTTCAAAGTTAGAGGTGGGAATCTAACCTAGTCAGTCTTCCTGAGCCTCTTGTTCAGCGTCTTGGTACATCTTCCTACCGCAACAAGTCATGTTAGGTCTTACATATGTAAAGACTCAGCAGAGAAGTCGTGCATCTTGCCAGTTGTCTGTGCATGAGATGGAGAGAGAGAAGTCTTCGTTTGCCATGAGGAAAGACTCCTTTGTGTAATCAGCCAGCCTTGCCTTGCTTTGATGCATGTAGTCCTCAAAACCTGTGGGCGTAATCTCTGTTACATTGTCAGAAGCAAGTGTGGAGATATTGTTATCGACTTTATTTAAATCTAGATCAGATACCATGGTGGCCATAAAGATGTGAGCCATGCTCAGAGAGCTGCGAAGGCATTTGGGATGGCGGTGGTGAGGGTAAAGCAGCAACGAGCAGAAGTCATTTTTGAATGTCATTTTGATCTCTCTTCCTCATACTCACACTTGTAGGCTGCGATTATATCACTCCCAAATCCTCTTGTGGATGAAAGAAATTAAATTAATTTGGGGGGCTGTCAAATTCAGATTTCCTTTTGTCTGTGCAGTTCTTTCAACCCCTCTGCTTTTCTGTTTACCTATAAGTCAACAAAGAGATGCAAATGGTATCCGACCTGCTGCCAAATACTGGAGTAATCCCTTTCGCTGTGCCTGTTTCCACACACCCACCGGAGTGATGCCAGCTTCCCATGCTGTAGCATCACCCTGGGTCTTGGTTCATGCAGTTATGACCAGGACTCCTGGGTCCTTTTGGTCTCCCCACGTTCTGGGAAACAGGCCCTGAAGTGTGACCTGCATTCCTGGTTCCTGGAAATGCGACCTTGCATTTGGTACTGTTACACAGTGTGTGTCCAAAGGAGTTCATCTCGCCAAGCAATTCATTGTGCACTGCATAACTCACCTCTTCCTGTAATTATAATTAATCAATTCCTGTGTCACTCACAAACTGCCCTTCTCTAATCCCAGCCCCTCAGCGCTGGTGTTTGTGTTAGGGTAGTCTTTAAAAAACGACTTCATAATTTTTCCGGCTCATTAGCAAAGACCAGACTATATGGGGCAGGGGTCGGCTGGTGGTGGGCTCTGTTGGAAGCAGCTGTGCTGCCCAGTGATTCCTCATATCTAATGAATTTCCCCCATCTCTTTGCCTGCTGGCTTTCAGTCTTCTTCATGTGGGTTTTGTGGGGTTTGGCAGAATGACCTGGCATTCCTGGGAGAATCTCAGGCGTTTTACACATCAGAAAGTTCCCTTTCATCAAAAGCACTTGTGCTGTTGCAAAAATCTTCAGTGTGACTGGCGAACCTGGTTTCTGCAGTCGTTGGTGGATGTGACATTAATAGCTTTGCTGTGCCCCAGCCCCAGGGTACTGCTCCTGGACAGCCCCCAGGGCAGCACTTCTTGGCCAACGCCTTTAGTGCTCTTCCGTGTGGGCTGTCCAGCCCTGCTGACTTTTAACATGTTTGCTTTGAAAAGCTGCTGTTTCACATCCTACCCCCTTGCAGTTGGAGTAGGAAGTATTTCGTTATTGCAGTAACATAGACGATTTAGGGAAAACAGAGCATAATGCGCAGATGTACCTACACCCCTTAACAGTGTATCCTATTTCTTTTCAAAAACAGAGCAGAAATGTTTTCACATTCTTCTGCCTTCCCTGTGTTATAAGCAACGGATTAATTACTGCTCTCCTGTGTCAGATCCAGGCTGTTACTTATGGCAGGGCTCTGTGCCTCATATAGTCAATGAATCCCTCCATCTTGTTGTTAACTGTACCATAGCCTTCTCCTTTCTCGTTTTTAACTTCTTATATCACTTCTATTTCCCAATTTATTTGCTTTCCCCTCCTTTTTACCATTTCCATACACAAAAATAATCCACACCATGTTGCAGCTTTTTGGGCTGAGATCTTGCTAGAGTTTTGTTCACTTTTAAATTATTTACTGCTTTATTTTTACATGATAATTTTGCAGGAGATTGCTCCAGAGTGGGTGAGTAATCGCTTCCAATGCGTTGCTTCCACCTTGCATAAGTGACTGCATAGCTGAGGTCTGTGAAGTCAGCAAAGAGGAGAAGTGTGAGTGCTTTGGCCATTACAGATTTATACCCTGGATGAGCCTGTGGTCAGCTCTGGGTTCTAAACAGAAACTGTTTCCTGAACTGTAGCATTTATTGGAGGAACCAAGTAAAAATTGTCTCTGACTCACAAAAAACCCTGTTAGAAGAGTGCTAGGAAAGGCAACCTTCTTTTCCTCACGGAGACCCTCTTCAGAGAGTTTGCTTTCCTCTGTGTTGCTCGAGAGAGATGATAGTCAAATCAGAGTGTGCTAAAGGAAGAAAAATATGTTGTTTCTTGCTGGTGAGCAGTGAAACAGGGAGCCTTTGGTGAAGGAGAGTGCTGGGCTTGGGTCTGTCTGCTGGCGGTGTTGGGGATGCTGTACTGCGGTGTCAGAGGTGTGAGAGGGGCTGGAGGATCGTGGTGGATGGGGAGCTGCTGGAGAGGCTGTAGGGCAGCCCAGTGCCTGAGAGGTCCCAGGGATGGGAAGGAGCTGTTGTGTCTCTGCCACGGGGCTGCACACAAGTTGGAGAGGATGAAGGATGCTGGTAAGGGAGGATGGATGAAAGTCACTGGTGAGCTGGAGAAGGAGAGGAGTGTTCGATGATAAGTCTCATGTGGTGCCCAGGGAGTTCTGTCTGCTCAGATCTAGAGAAGCTTAAGATCCTGCTCAATTGTAGTCATCTAAGTACCCGCATGGGGAATGAACAGAAGTCTAGTGTGGGGCTTCTCCAACTTACTCACCAAGTAGTGAAATTCAGTGTCTGAAATGCTTCCAGCATTAAGTGCAGAATTAAGGTGCACTAAACCTTGCTAAACCTTGCAAATTTTAACCTTTGAACTGATTTCTCCAGGCTTGTGGTGGGTGTTCTTGCTGAAATCACTGCCCAGGCTGGGTGGAAGCACTTGGGGTGGCTCCAGCCCTGGGAGGTGCCGCTGTGCCCTGCTCAGGGGGCTCTAAGCAGGATGTGGAAGCTGCGGGTTGGACTGCTGTTCAGTGTGGGATGCATCCCAACGGGATGCTGTGACTGCGGGGCTTTTGCTGTCTCCTGTGCTTTGGGCACTTCCAACCCACCTACTTACAAACTGCTGCGAGTCGGCCCTTCCTCTGGGCAGTCCCTTGGAGAAAACCACTTTATTCTGGTGAGGACGTAGTGGAAATGGTGGGAGTGAGTCTGGGGGAGGGAGGAAATGGAGGTGTCTGCTTTTCACCCCTCCAATTGCGTCGCTTCTGATGGCACGAGGAGCTGATGCCCATCCTGGGCACCGTGGGCGAAGGCAGCTTGGGCATGTGGTATTTCTGTTTTATTTCTTTTTTTTTTTCCGACTTGACAGTTGCCCCTATGAAAAGCGGTGGAGGGGAAATATCAACCACTGAGGTCAGGAAGGAGCTGCTCTGGGAGGAGGGTATCTCGGTGCACTTCTCAGAAAAGAAATCGCGAAGCCTCATCCTTCCGAGGCCGCCCACGGGGCCGCTGCTGCCCGGCTCCTGGCACGCTGCAGGCATCCTCATCGACATCGATAGTGATCAAAGCGAGAGTGTGCGCTGCGCCTGAGCTCCCTCCCGGAGCGGGGGTCTCGCTGCAGCTTCTGCCCGGTGCTGGGTCCCTGCTTGGAGGCTTTGCTGTGGCTTTTGCTTTCCCAAAGGGAGACTTTTCTTTTGGGTCTGTGTCACGTTGGGCTCAGTCTAAGCATGCTGTGTAGGATGCTGGGATAAGCACAGCTTAATCCTGCTTTTGCTGCAGGTCCGTGTGTAGCAGCCCCAGCATCCCAGAGCCAGGGCCATGATATTCTCTGGGCTGCCCATGTTGCTGGCAGATAAATCTGACTTATTCTCCATGTATAAAGAAAAAATAAATAGTGCTGGGTCGCTGTTTTAGTGGAGCAAAACCTGATGGATGAGCATGAGGGCAGGGTGGATGTAAGCAGGTTTTTTAGCTGTGGGGCTTCCCACTCCCCTGCTGGGAGGCCTCTGGTGCCTCTTGTGACAAATTCATAGGATTTAGGGGCTGGAAGGTGAAGTTCTGGTTTGTGCTGCCTGCCCAAGGTGCATCTTTAAAAGCTGATCTCAACACCTCCAGAGCCGGAGATCACCCAGCAGCTCCCGCATGGACCGCTCTCCTTAAAGGAGTTGAGCGGTTTGTGTGCGTGGTTTTACTTCTCACTTGCCGCAGCCAAGAGGCATGTGCCTGAGCTCTGCAAACTCTGTCTTGCTATGGGCTTAGGTGAGTGAGGTGAAGCGTTTCCCCACCAACACAAGACTTGCCAGTGCTTGCACAACTCTATAGAGTGGGGGTAACAGGGAGCACAGCTCCTGCTTGCAGTGATGGCAGGGCGCATCCCTCCACTCGCCTTGGGGACATCCCAAGGCATCCCGGAGCTGCATGCTCCATGCAGATTTGGGGCCTCCCTTGCATCCCATAGTGAGAAATAGGTTTTTGGCAATTAAAAGAGCAAGTGCAAAGTCCAGAAGAAAGCCTGGTTCAATCTTCCTGCATGCCCTTGTGCGCATCCTACCCTTCTCCACCCCAGGACAGGGAGGGTGCCTGGCGTGGTCTGGCGCTGCTGGTTTTGAGCATGCCTGGCACAGTGGAATGAACCCAGTTTGGACTTCATGCTCTGTGCTGCTCTGACCTGGTGTAAAACACTGCTCCTGAGTTGTCCCTGTGATTTGTGGCCTGACCTGGAGAGGTGGCACGATTCACCATCACAGCAAAGCAGCAGCGGAGCATCTGCTCGCGTGCATTGAGACAGAGGAGTGGCTGCAAATAAAACTTTCTGGAGTTGGCTTCTCACCTGGCTGCAGCCTCTCCCTGGCCTGGGAATAAACCAAGTGCTGCTCTGCAGTTCATAAAAGTCCCCTGGTGCTACCGCAGCACCCAGCTGTGTCCCAGGCGGACGCAGGACATCTGCAGAGGGATGCACACTTGCAGGCAGGTGGCTCCTTTCTGCTTTTAATATCATCTGGGGCTTTTGTTGCTGACCTGTGCACATTAGTAGCATCACCGTCCATGCCCAAATAACCTTTTTTAGTCTGGATGCAGGGGATATGGCTGCAGGGACTAACTCTGCTCCCAGTGGTTGGAAAGTGGATGCTCATGACCTGGACAGTGTGCGGAGGGAAGGGAATTCCCACCCATGGCTGGATCCCCTGTCCTGACTGATGCCTGGCCGTGCCAGACACTTTGCTTTGCCGCATGGTCTTTGTTTATTGTGTCTATGATTTCCGAGCTGCATTTTGTTCTTGAGACTATTTTTAGCCAGGATGCAGCTGTTTTGGTGTGTCTTTGGTTAATGCTGCTTTGCCAAATTTAGGAGCTCAGACCCTGGCAGCCTGCTGCTTCCCAGCACTGTTTAGCTTAATCCCAGGGTAATCCCAGTGCCTTGCCATGACCATGAGTTAAGCAGAAATTCTGCTTATAGCAATGTTATTCAAATATACCTGGCTGCATGCTTGTGCTTCGGCTCGCAGTTCCCGTAGAAGACCCCAAAATGGGTCAGAAGACCTCAGGTCTGATTATAGTTGTACGATGCTTCCCTGGAGCCCTGCCCTTGTCCCTGCTACCTGCCCGTCCCCATTCCCAGCTGGTTTGCCGCAGCTCCTCCGCAGGGAAGCAGCCCAGCGCCTCTCCCTCTGCCCCATTCAGCGCAGAATAACGCAGCGAGCCGCTGCTGCCGCAATTTCCTCCTCCCTCACTAGAAGTGAGAGGAAGGAAAGAGCCTGCGTCTTGCTGGGCTATTTGTATTTGTGGTTACGCTCACGCAGGAAGCGGCATTCTCCTCGTCTGGCGATGCACCCCCACGAGGCTCGGCTCCGCTGCTCTCGTGGATCCTGCTCTGCGTGGCCAGGCTTCGCCCTGGGCAGCCGCAGCGGGGCTGGGCTCTCACGGGTGAACTAATCCTCCCGGCCGAAGCAGGACGGGTTGCTTCGAGGCACCGTGTGAGCCCAGGTGCTTCTTGCCGAGGTCAGCAAAGCTCCCGCCAGCGTTGACCGCTTCTGCTGGGCCGGTTGCTTTCTTGACTATCTCACAGGTGCTGGGGATTTCCCTGGAGGATGCCATGCTCTGTGACAATATTGATTTAGTTGAGGAATCTGCCGGAGTCATCCTAGGCAGAGCCATGGCTTTGTGCCATCGTGCTGGCTTGTGAAAGTGGCTCGAAGGAAAACTGGAGCATCACTGACTTAGTGGGTTGCTGTGGCTATGCCCTCGCTGACAAGATGCCACAATCTACGGTTGCGCTCTGGGTGTCAGCAAACCCAGCAAGGTGCCAGAGTACCAGAGGCAAATTAAAAATCGCAACTGTAATTAACAGCGAGTGCCTCTGAGCTTCTTGGAAACTTTCCAGCAGGATCCTTCTCCGCTGGAAAATGTTGATTCATTGAAAGTAAAAAGTTGTGTGGCAGCAGGAGAGCTTTCCCATGGGGGAAGGCTCCTGCCCTGTTTATTCAGCTACAAGCTGGGCATAAAGCCACAGAAAAATAGTGTGTGTCCTGGTGAGCAAATGCCTGTCTATGGCGGGGGGACAAGTGAAGGCTGGTTTTGCAACCTTAGCGCTAGTTTTGCTTGTCTTGGCATTGACCTTCTCCCAGCTGTGCCACGGCAGACCTCTCCCCTGGTTCAAATTCATCTTGTTTTAACACCTAGAAGGTGTGTAAAGGTATTTTTATAGCATGTCTGTATGTTTGATGAATTTTTAGCCTCTGCAGCTGAGAATAAGGTTTGAGGGACAGACAGCATGGCCTGTAGATTTGTGATGAATACCACTGTCCCCTTGCCAGCTCACGGTATCGTTTCTTCCTTGTTAGCTCCAACGCGACAGCCAACACACGTGGGTTGATGTTTATGTTTCTGTGCTGCTTAATAGACCGTGTGAGTGAAAAGCAGCTGGTTTTATATTTATTTTTCCTCTCTGATCATTAGCCCTACTTCCCTGCAGTAAGAGATGCTCTGTTTCTCTTGGTTTTGCTTTTGGACTGAGACTGGAAGAGCCCCGGTGCCAGCACCCCCTGAACCATGCTATGGGCTGTAGCCGAGCTATGTGGTGTCTGCACTGCATCCACTCTTGGTGAAAAAATCCATGGCAATGTGGGATGGGGGAGATGCAAACATGGACCCTTCTCAGATATTTGTTAGGCTGTTTGCTCGAAATTTCCCCTTAACTTTTTTCTACGGGGCTGTGTGTGGTGCCCAGGTCCCTGGGGGGGGAGGAGGAGGAGGTGCTGCTCCCTCCTTGGTCTGCAGATCCTGGTCTGCCGGAGCCGGCGAGCACCGCCTCCTCCCCTGGGATGCAGGGCCGGGATGAATGGAGGCACCCGGCAGCCTTTGCGCAGATCATTTCCTCTAAGACCATCTGGGAGGTGGCCCTGACCGCTAAGAAGAGCGATGGCCTCGGGAAACACCTTGGGCCATTGTCACCGGTTGGGTCCCAGCAGCGAGAGGCAGATGTCTGGAGACGGAGGCCAGGAGGGGTTCAATCAACTGGGGTGAAGGACCCTCCATCCCTTTGCATGGCAATTCTCCTCTCTCAATCTGGCTATCTTCTGGTGGGGTTTTAATACATTTAATGATAGTTTGAAGGTGCTAAGAGATGGAATAAATGCTGGGCACCCTTAACAATGATGCTGATGTGATGGTGCATCTCCAGGGTGTGGGGAAGCTGTTCAGGGGGATGCAGCATCTTTTCTCATGTGCGATGCAGCTGGAGGGGGTTGGATGTGTGCCTGATGGGGAGCTGAATTTTGCAGGGTTTGAGTGAGTTTATAGTTGGGATAGTGCATCTGGGGCATTTGAGCTTGGGGGAGGCAGGGCAAGGGGCCACACTGGTGGGTTTTCTGTGCTCAGGCAGAATGAAGGTGAGTGTCCACCCCTGCCAGGCACATGCCTCCGGCCTCTGCAGCACGCACGTGGCAGCGCAGTCATGTTAGCTACCCAGCCTCCCTGGGGAAGAGGCATCCAACCTAGCCGAGTGCGTTGGGCTGCGTGAGCGAGAGCACGAAGGTGCTCAGGTACGAAGCGATGCCGCTGAGATAGGCACCATTTGGTGAGATTACATCTGTCCAGAACGAGGGCATGAGGTTTTTTCCTCCACTGTGATCTGATGCAGGTGGCAAATACCTTTGCCCTGACCCCTTCCAGTTGTTGGTCCCTCCTGCAACATTCTTGAATGGGGCTGTGAGTGACAGTGGCTCTGTCTCCCCTGCAGCCGGGCTGTGCCTGAACTGCTGGAGCCTGCAGGAGCTGGTGAGCCGAGACGCCGGCAACTACCTCATCCTCGTGGAGAAGATCCTCAGCAAGGCCAAAGAGGTGAGTCGGGAGGCTTCCGAGAAGGGCTGTGGGCTTTGAGGCGGTGTCAGCTCTGGGGCTTGACCAAAATGGAGTTTTGCAGAGCTTGGTAGGTGATTTTGAGTTGTGGTAAGGTATTGCTGGAGCACTGGAGCTTGAGGTGGGGTGATGTTGGGTTGGCAGGTCTGAAGCTCTGGTGGGAGCAACCCTGTGTGTCCTGCTGGCTTTCAGCATGTGGGACCTACAAGGGAAAAACCAGCTCCAATATCTGGTCTTTGGGTACCACTGCAGATCCACAGGGAAGGGTTTTGATTTCCCAAAGTGCTGCTTGGCACCGTGCAGGGGCAGTGTGGGTCACAGGGCTGCGCGGATGGAGCCAGATTTCCCCAGACCTTCCCCTGGCGTAAACTGGGAGCTGCTAGTCCAAATCAGAGCAAATTGAAGGTTTCCTGTTGTTTTTGATGGAAACTTTGCTGCGGCTCTGCCGGGCTTCCTGCAGAGCCAGGAGTGGAGCTGGGACGCTGGGGACCACAGGCAGGGTTTGTGCCATGTAGCAGCCCGGCAGGCGACAGTCAGGTCAAGCAGAACAGGGAGGCGAAACGGCAGTGGGGCCGATCGTATTGGCCTGCCACGGTCTCGTCATGTGCCGGAGAAGCTCAAGGCATCGTCAGTCAAGCAGGGTCACCCCAGGCTGCGGCTCGGAAGACCTCAGAGGAATCGCTTGATGTGGCAGGAAACAGTGATGTGTTTCCTAAATCCTCAGCACTGGGATTCATGTGATGGGGTAAATGCTGCCTTTCATTTTTTGGGAAAGAAAGGCTGTCTAGCTGCCAGGCTGCGGAGCTGATACTAGTTAAGATAGCACAATTTGGTTTGATCTATTTATATTTTTTTTTAATGGCTGGAATTGATCTAGTTGCAGATAGTGTTTTATTACATTAGGGTTTATTGCACTTCGTGCTGTGCTCATGAGCACGGGGAGACAGTGTCTGCAAGTGTATCCTTGAGTCATCACTGTGTCCATTGATGAAATAATTCTGCTGGCTATTCACTGGCAAAGGCTGGGCCAAAAATATGTGGTTTGCACCGTGCGGCCAAGCTTTGCTAGCCTCTTGCAGGGGATGCGCTGCCTGCTTGACTCTCCAAACTGCCTGCTTTGAGCCACTTTCATAGAATTTCATGCAACTCTGCAAGGATCAGGAGCATTGGAGGGCTGGGAGCTTGGCCAAATCTGGCTTCTCGAGCATAAAGGCAGAGTGGCAGCCTGTGCAGATCTGCCTGTCCTATCCATGTGGGTTACTGGGCCTTTAGGGGTTATTTTCCCATGGAGACAAGGGAATCTGCTGGGGCCGGTGGTGTGACGGTGCAGGTTGGGCGCTCGGCTGCACTGCCGGGGAGCCTCCCGGCACCTCCAAGGATGCTTTCAGGTAACATTCATGGTGAGCAACCCAGTTTATCCTTCTGCCCTCGGGCTGTTTCCTACAGGTGCAGGAGAAGTGCGACTACGATCTCGTAATGCCCCTGGCTCTGCTGTTCTACTATGCGGTCCTGTATGTAAGTCTTGAGGCTGCTGCATGTAGCTTGATCCCAGCCCCTGGGGAGGCATGGGGTCTGGGGCCCCGTGAAGCTACACAGAACAGTCACCGAAATCGGGGTGGCTTTCGTCTGAACCATCATGGTCTGCTTTGATCAATTCATCTCAAAAAAAGATCCTTTACGAATCTACAGGGATCAAGACCAAGCAACCGTTGCACAAGCTGTGAGATGAAAAAAATGAGCTGCACTGTTTTTAAGCTTTTTATTTAAAGACGGGCTAATCAGAAAGGGAGACGGACAATATCTCTGTGCAGAGAAGGCAAATTTTTTTCATTACCCTTTATACTTGTGCAAAATATATGGGCAACGCTAATGAAAAGGAGGAGTGGAGCCTTCACAGGAAATACTTTTTTTGATTATTATTATTAGCACAATGCATCATTATCCCAAGGAAATCATTGCTGCCAGATCTTGCAAAAGCACAGGCTGTAATGCGATTCATCTGTATGGATCTGTGGTTGTTAAAAAGAAATTTATATATAGGCTTTGGCACGTGAGCTGCAGCCAGGAGGTTGGGAGGGTGCAGAGCGGATGAAGCTTTCTCAAAGCTGTGCCCAGTGGGGATCCTTTGACCCTTCCTTGGGAGAGGACGGGGTGTCACAGGGTGAACCTCTGCTCCGATCCCACTTCTCCTTCTCCCACTTCCAGCCTAAACCCTCAAGTTTTTACACAGCGCTCGAGGCCTGTGTCCTTGCTGCCTTTCTAACCGTGTTTCCCCGTCCCCCACAGGCTCCTCACTTCCCACCAGGCTCTGACCTGCTCCTGAAAGCCGCCAGCATATACCACAGCTTCCTGACCTGGCCCGTGCCCTACTGCGACATCTTCCGCGAGCTGCTCACCTTCATCAGCAATGAGCTCAAGGCCCCCGGTAAGCACTCCTGCCCTGCCGTGAGGTTTTCACATGCTGCTGGCCCTGCTTCTCCAAAAACGCTCACTGCCATGAGTGCCCCGTGTTTGTTCCTGAGACTGTCCTGGTGTTGCTTTCTCATACCCCACTTGCTTCATGAATCTCTTGAGCGTGATGTCCACGCTTACCTTGTGCATCCCAGCTTTTCTAGGAGGTGAGGACCTATGCCCTCCATCCTCTGGATGATTTTCCCTGGTGGTCCAGCACAGGGTGAGACCAGATTCCTCTGGAGGAGCAGGGCAGGGTTGTGTTTTTGGTGGCTGCCTTGTGTGCAAGGTGGTGGGAGCTTCCTAGAGATTCTCAGCTCTGGACCAGGGTGAATTAGCAAAATGTGTAACTATTTCCTGGCTGCCTTTCAGTCTGGTGGGTCTTTTCCATGGCAAAGCACGTGCTGGCTGCTCCTGCCCAGCCCTGGGCTTTGTTTGAGATGCTCGGTTTGAGATGCTCAGTGGTGTAACTGGGGTGATAACAGTGGGTCCATTCATCGACATCAAGGTGGCTGGAGCCTTCGAGCCTGCCCTTGCGTGGAGATTTCCATAGGGCTGAGGGACTCCCTGGCTCTTTCTTTACAGCTGAGACACTACCTTGTGATACGGCTTTGGGCACATCTATCGGCAGCAGCAGTGCTCCTTTTAATTAAGGACTCCTCATAGATGTCCTGTTGTTCCCAATGGAGCAGGTCTTCCAATTATTTACAAAAGGCCCTTTCTCCTAATCTCTCCGTCTTTTGGTGGCTTATGGAGAGCTGTTATCACACAGAGCAGATTTCAGCCCTTGTTTAATCCTGCGCAGGGCCATGGCAGCAAGACTGGCTCTGAGCAGGACTTGGGAGGCCTTGGATGTGTACATGGGCTGTGGCTGAGGCTGGGGGTGCTTCCCCATGTCCTCAAACCAGGCAGCTGCTTTGGAGAGCCCTGACGGGGATGTGAAACATAGGGTCTCTGTCATGGCAGCAACATCCTGCGGAGATGGGACCTTGTTAGGTGCAGGTGGGATGAAAGATGCTTTCAAAGGAATAAAAAGATTAAAGAAAAAAGCCCCCAAACCCTCTGCAGTGTTGGCACTGGACTAGCTGATTTACCCCCAGCTCAAGGATCCACCAGCATAAATGGCCATGGCCACCAGGCAAGGTCTGGCTGGGCTGTTGTGCTGTGTCCAGCCTCCAGCTCAGAGCTGCAGGACCAGTGCAGACGTGAGGATGCTCGTCCCTTGCTGCTGCAGCTGTGGACTTTCTCAGCTCCTTCCTGGTCACTTATTACTGTGACAGCAGTTGAGGCTGTGTTTTACAGACCCCTGGGAAAGCCCAAGTGCTGGGGGTGGTTTGCTACATCCTGCTCTTGTGCCATCACCACTGTCACTGGTGCCTGAGGCTGTGTGAGCTGGGGACTTTGGTCCAAAAGTTTTTCCCCTCCTACAAGCATATGAGATTCCCCCACCCCTGCCAGAAGATGCCATGTGGGAGGTGTTGGCCTGCTGGGCTGGGCAGCCTGGTGCTGCCCCTCGCCCCAGCCTGTCCCCGCAGCTGGAGCCAGGAACAATGAAAATGTGTCCTCTGCTGGTAAGCTGGCCAAGCCCTTATACGCTTGTTGCATGGCCTCTGTGACCTGCTGCGAGGCTGAAGCAAAAGGTTTTTATTGAGATGAGGGTAAATATTAACTGAAAACAAGCTGCTGACGATATTTGCTAAGAATGCAATAGCTTTTATCTGCAAACAGGGGCTGATGCCTCTGCAAGAGGGGTGAACACTGCCGTAAGCAGGGGGCCTGTGTGGATCAACACGAGGTGCCTGTGGGTGCTGGGCAACCCCCCCGCCTTGGGTGCTGCTCCCAGGCTGCTGAGCAGCAGCTGGGGTTCGGATGTGGCTGCCTGCAGTAATAAGGGTGCTGGATCTTGTGGACACCATAAAATCTTTCCCAAGATGTACCCCAGTCCTGCTGTTTGGGGTGTACACGGGCTTCACTGTTGCCACCCAGTCCAGGTCCATCCAATGTCACCTGGGTGGGGTTCCCTAAGGCGTCCTGGGGACAGTCCCAGGGAGGCATCCAGGGACTTGGGCTGCCCATGCCAGCCTGTCTTCTGCTGGGGCCAGTCTGGGCTCCATCCCTGCGGGAGAGAAGGTGGTGGTGACCTGCTGTCCATAAGTGAGATCCAGGGCCTGGGGTGCTAAAGCAAGTAGCAGAAGCTGCTAAATATCATCCATGCAATTCACATTCTACATCAGCAGTGAGGAAGAAGGGACTGGGGATGTAGCAGCTCTCCTGTCCTGTCCTTTGGTTGCTTTCCCGTCGCTCTGGGCTTTCACCCTTTACATCCCATGGCTCCCTTGCTCCTGGGCTGCTGCCCTTACATGGTGGCCATGCCTTGTCCCCATAAGGACTTTTGGTGTTGCCATGTCTGCTCTGGGCAGCAGCTCAGCCAGGTCAGCACCGTGTTAGGATACAAATTCGATGTGCTCCTGAGGCAGAGCGGTCTGCAGTGGTGCCATGTCTCATGTCCTCTGCTCTCTCCCCCAGGGATCTCTTTCCAGAGGCTGGTGAGGACAGAGCAGGGGCTGCCTGTGAAGAACTACCAGAGCTCCACAGTGTAAGTGTGGCCATGGGCGCTGCTGGTGCCACTCTGTAGCATCCCCAGTCTCACGCTGCTTAAGATGTAACGGTGTGCCGGGGAGGAAAGATGGATAGCTGGGCTGAGCTGTGGGAAGAGGCAAGGAAAGTGGCTGTGGCATTTCCACAGCTGCGGGTCAGGGTGTGTGGGCTCCCCGTGTCGGTTTTCCCACAGCCCTGCTTACTGCAGGGCTTCAGATCTGGGTGAAGACAGCTGGGGAAGGCAAAGTCTCCTCCACAGGGAGTTGCTGATCTTGGCACATGTTGGAGAACAGCCAGCAGACACTTCGATCTGCGTGTTTGGGAGCCACCACCCCAGGGGGGTCAGAAGCGAGTCTGTCCCAGTACAACGATTAATGAAAGCCTTCCAGCTCTGAGCACAGTCACCTTATTTGAGGGCCGAACCTTTCCTCCTGCCATTTCCTCCTCATTTGTAAATAGGAAAATGAGCCTGGGTAGCGTGTGCCCTTCCTGGCTGCCGTGCCAGCCCCAGCTGCAGGGACAGTCCTTCGTGCATAGCCGCCTCCACTCTGTGCAGGAGGGGTGTCCTGCTGTTTTGGCTTGTCCACTCATGCCGTGCAGCTCTGGATCTGCACCTGTATCCCACCCAGCTGCACTGGTGCTGCTGTGTTGCTTTCCCGGTACAGCTCTGCTGCTCTACATGCTTATACAGGTGGAAGTGCAACCACAGATGACTTACAGCAGAATGGCTGTATTTGCATAAAAAGCCCTGAAAACCTGGCACAAAGCCGTACACAAGCTGAACCTTGCACTTAGTGAAAGCTTGTGCCCATTGCCTGAGCTTTCTAGAACCAAGCACACCACAGCACATCCTTAATTCAGAGCCATTTTTGCTCACTGAGCTGGATTGCTCTCATCCATGAACAGAAGCACATGCTCGATGGGCTGCAGGTTTGGGAATTCAAAGCCTGTGGATATTCATGTTGTGGTCCACAGCAAAAATGCAGCTGAAGGATGTGGCTCTTCTCATTAAAGCCCAGAAGTGATGCTCTGATCTGCATCTTGCAGGGGGAAGATGCCTCAGGGGCATTTTCTACCCTCTGCTTCATTGCGTGTGCTGGATGTCCGGTTAGGACAACTGGCTGTTGGGCCAAAGCCGTGTCTGGGGTTGATTGAACAATTATTGGGCTGGTGATATTGCAGATGTGGTAGGAGGGATGGTGCCGAGGAGCAGGGTGGAGGATGCTCATCTGTTACCCGCTGCCTGCCCATAGCTGGCACTGCAGCATGGGCCTGGCACCCCTGCACAGCCCCAAGACCCTCCGGCTAACCCAAGAGGATGCTGCTGTCTAATGTGAATTTGTCCAAGACTTTCATGTGCCACCAGCATCCAAGCCTGGCTGTCCCGGTCTAACCGCTGTCCCCTTGTCCCTAGAACGGTGCTGCTGCTCAACCGCTCTGAGGTGCAGAGCGAGTTCCTCTCCATCGCTGAGAAGCTGAGCGCTAGTGAGCACCCGCAGCGTGCCACACTCGTCGTGCTCCTGGAACACCTCTACCAGGCCAACTTTGGCACCCGCTGTGACCTGGACAGCCTACACCGCCTCCTGAAGGTAGGCTCAGAGAGCTTTGACTTGGGTAATGCTGCGATGCCATTGGGACCAGTTTCATGCAGTTGGCTGATGGATTTCCTGACCAAAATAATACTTGATCGACAGAAGAAAAAACGTTTTGGTAACTTCTTGTAGGAAAAAGTGTCTCTTCCTTCTCTTCTTAGGTTAGACCTGAGGTCTACACTTGTGTTTTGTGAAGTACGTGGGGGGTCACTCGCCTTTTACTCTTTTCCCCATCTCTAAGTGGAGAGAGGAAGTGCCCCCAGATTTGAAATGCAGCAAAAGCGTTCATTTGACCAGAGAAACACTTTGCTTTGCTGTTTGGGGGGCAGAGGGGCAAAAAATTGTGAAGAAAACGCATTAGGTGTTTTCAAACACATTTTTTTTCTTTGCAAAAGTTTTGGGGGACATGAAAGGGGTAGGAGGAAGTGAGTTACTCAGTGGTAGTTAGTGATCCTGCCCAAAGACCTGTGTGTTGCCTCTGTGGAGGGACCCCCTCGATCTCTCGCCTTGGCTCTGCTCCCCCTAGTCCAAGACGCTGGAAGAGCTCTCGGAGATCTATGCCAGTGCTGCCGACGCACAGGAGATTGCAGCCACCAGCAGTGACCCTGTCCTGGCCCGGGAGCAGCTGCAGTCCGTGCTGCGGGACATCGCTGGGGCCGCATCCTTTCCTGTCATCGCCGGTGAGAAATCCCCCCATACTCCTCTTTTTCCTCCAGGGTTTTCTGCCAGCTCAGCCCCTGCAGTGGTGAGGAGCAGTTTCGCAAAGTTGCAACCTAGCACAACAACAACTACAGCAAAAAAACCACCAACCCAGGTCCTGTTTCATAACCACATGATGAACCAGAAATGGTTCGTCATCCTTCATTAAAACAGGACAAAACAAAAAAATTCTCCAGCCTTTGTGGGTGACATGAAAACTTTAATCAGAAACCAATGGTAACAGTGGTGTCTGATGGCTCTTAGAGGTGTGAAATGTCCCCTCGTCCCAATTGCATGCAACTTCATGGGGATAACGACAGCAGCATTGGTGTTCTGCATGACCTGGGCTGCCCAAAACGTGTGTGGGGTGGATGGCATCTCCCACCGGCCAGGAGCGCTGTCAGGAGCGGTATTGGGGGTCCCTGCAAACTAACTCCTCTCCCTCCTCTCTTCCCAGGTGAGGCTCAGCCCCGCAAGCTCCACACCATCCCCATCCCCACCGCTCGCTGCTACACTTACAGCTGGGATCAGGATAACTTTGGTAAGCAGAGAGGATCCCCTATCCCTCCTAGTGAGACTGTAGCCCTCTGCTCCCCCATCACAGAGGTTGTTGAGCAGCATTTCAGCTTGGCTGGGGCTCCCACGTTCAGCCGGGTATATGACACAAACTGTGGCCAGAGCCTGGAATAGCTGATAACAAATGGTTGGTGTTGGAGGGAGAGATAACGCAGTGGATGCCAGCGTCCCCTAGATGGGAAAGGATGTACATGTCAGCTTGGGCATGATGCCTGCTGTGATCACAAGTAGAGACCTCATCCGAGCAGTAGGCACAAGGCACTGGTGGCCCCAAAACACATGTTGCCAGAGACAAATCATTCAGGGCTTTATCTCCTGGGCAAAGTTGTGCCTTGCATAAAGCTGGAAGAGGTGCATTGCACCCGAGTCTGTGGCGATATTGGTAGGAAGGGAGACCTTGTTTGGTAGAAAGCTCGTCTGCAAGGAGTAAACCTTGCTCGTGCCCTGGAAATAATTGTTGCTAAAAAAGCCTGACCACACTGAGATGTCAGGGCTCTGTGGGGTTGAGATCCCTTGGCTGTTACAGCTCTTCCCCCACCCACAGCAGGGATCGCCACGAAGCAGGTGCCTTTGCCGTGCTCTCAGCCCGGCCGCAGCAGTTTTGCAGGGGAAGCAGCGGCTTCTCCTTCTGCTGAGCTGGTCTCTCCAGCTTCTCCATTCCTGGAAGACCTTTTCTGTTCCTGTGTAGGTTTAGTGTTTTTTGCCTGCTGGCCCCAGCAAGCTGGACCAGAGCTCTGGTTTGGGCTTTGCAGTGAGTCCAGCCTTGCCAGGAGGCCACCCGCAGTGGGGTGATTTGGGGTTCGATTAGCCAAATACCTTGCTTTCCTCCTGCCCTCTGGTTAAACCCGAATCAGACGTGAGCACGTTGTGAAATATGTGTAGGAAGAAAGCAAAACCCCAACTGGTGTTTGTCTTTCGAGAACCCAAACAGAATGTGACCTCAAGGAGAGAAACACGTTTTGTTTTGCATTGCATCTGAGTGCCTTATGGAAATCTAAAAATGTTCAGTAGGAGGTTTTCAGCTCCTTGTTTGAAACCATGCAGGATCAAAGACAGCATTGGCCACGCTGTAGTTGTGTTGTTGTCTGGGGTCATCGCATTTCCAGTGGTTGTGCTGGAGCCCGTATCAGACTTGATCTCCCTCTGGTCAACTTTCAGATATCCTCAATGATGTCCTCAGCAAAGAGTGCAGCGTTGTTGAGCCCATGGCCTCCGAGAACGAGGAGGATGAAGAGGAAGAGGAGGAGGTGGAAACTGATGGCTGTTTCCCCGAGCGGGACTCACTGCTTTCCCCCATCTGTGCCATTTCCAAAGATTCTGTGTACTCGGCGCTGTCAGAGGAGGGATCTAAGCCCTCACGAATGTCCCTCTTCACCACCTCCAAGGACTCCATCTCGGAGCTGACGGTGGTCTCCAGAAAGTCCCTGAAGTCATTCGTCTCCAGTCTGAAGGACTGCATGGACAGCGGGTATGCGGAGGACAGCGACGAGAGCTCCCTGGACATGGTGGGGAGGTCGGAGCTGAAGGTAGAGAAGACCCACCACAAATACAGACACACGCTGACCAACAAGATCTACAAACTGTTCAAGAGCAAAAGCCAGCTGGTCTTGAGGAGGGACCTGAAGGACTGCCCAGACATGGGCTCGCTCTCGCTGCCCCTGCGCCGGGCTGAGAGCCTGTGCACCCCCCAGGCCAAGCACCGCGTCCCGGCACGCTCCCGGCGCGCTCACTCGCTGCCGCAGCACGTCCTGAGCCAGCGGCTGCCGGCCTCGCTCACCCCGCGGCACCTCAGCCTCCACCGACGGCCCTTCCTCAGCTACGACGAGGACGCCAAGGTGTCCACGCTGCGCGTTGTGGTCTTCGGCTCCGACCGCATCTCGGGGAAAGTGGCCCGAGCCTACAGCAACCTCAGGTGAGCTGGGTGGTGCGGGGGATCTGGCAGCAGGTACCCAGCCTGCTGGGACACTCCGGAGAGCTTTGCTCACCCAGCCCTCTCCCACCTTCTCCTAGGCTCAAGGAGAGCACCTGCCCTTCACTGACAAGGTACTTCAAGCTGCAGTTCTTCTACGTCCCCGTGAAGAGGAGCTGCTTGGCTCCATCAACCCCACTGATGCATCCCTCCCCGTCCCTGGGGGACCCACAGCTCCGGGCCTCGGCACAGACGGTAGGTGTCCTGCTCGCCGCGGGGCTTGTGGTGCCACCGGTGCTCTGCTTGGCCCCGAGAGTGGTGTGTGAGGAGGCCAGCGGGGCAGGCTGAGGGGAGCATTGGTGTCCCTTCCACCAGCCCCAAATGTGGGTTGAGGAGCCTGGGGGGACTCCTGGAGTGACCCCAGTGTGTTTGGTTTCAGGATCCCACCTTGTCTGGGATGGAGAGCAGCACCAACGACGTCTCCCACTACATCGGCATGTTGGACCCATGGTACGAGCGGAACGTTCTTGGGCTGATGAACCTGCCCATGAATGTCCTGTGTCAGGTACGTGCATGCCAGCTGATAGGGCTTGGCATCCCCCTTCCCTGAGGTACAGGGGAGCAGAGCGGAGAGCTTCTGCTTAGCACTGGACCACCACGATCCTGTACAGGAAACTGTGCTACAGGGACATGGGATGGAGATGGGGGCATTCCTGGTGGCCAGGAGGAAGGTTTCTGTCCTCAATGGGGTGGGACGGCCAGTTCTTGCCCTTGGGCTGTGGTTACCACATACCCCATCAGGCTTGCGACTTACTCTCTCACCACAGTCTGCCAAGCCAGAGGCTGAGCCCCAGGAGGACTCCCAGGAGCAGCTGCCCATCCTGGCAGACATGATCCTCTACTATTGCCGCTTCGCCACGCGCCCCGTCCTGCTGCAGCTCTACCAAACAGAGGTAGGCAAAGGGGCTCAGCCCCATCTTGGCGAGGGGGAGAGAGGGGTTCTTCTGCCTGTGCCACCAACTTGGGACCTGCCTGTGAAGCGGTGGAGTGTGGCACAGCCACCACGTGCTGGTACGGTGGAGCTCGGTCTCCTCTTATTCTCCGGGTGCCCACGGTGCTTTGGCTGATGCTCCTGGCTCTGGGATTGAGAGCGTGCTGGTCCTGCCCAGACGACCCTTAAGTCACACAAGCAATTTTCCATCCAAACACCTTTCCCCATGACACAAAGCGACTCCTGTCAGTGCTGACAGGTTACATTGCTGGAAGTCCCTCTAGGCTCTGCTTTCCAAACCAAGCCCCTCCATGAAGCCTATTTTCCACACCCTGCAGTGTGCACGGAGCCGACGTGGTGGGGAAGGTTGAATGCGTGGCTGCAACAACTGCTTTGGTGCTGTGGCACAGGACCGGCTGCAATGGGGATGTGGCAAGCAGAGTTGCTGCTGATCATGGGATTTGTGTCACCTAAAGCGATGCCCAGATCCTGCTGTTAGGCTCATCGTGGGTTTTCTTTCCAGTGGATTAGGGAGTTTTCTTTAAGTAAAAATTAGGTTTTTGGGTTGTTTTACTTGGTGGTGGTCTGTTAAAACAGTCTGAAATACAGCTAAAGGGAAGTGTCACCCAAGGCAGTTGTTGAAAGGTGTATTTTGAAAACATGAAAGGATTTTCCCAAACTGACCTGTTTCCTGTAGAAAGGAGTAAGAGGGGTGAACATTGCCTGGCACGGGCTGGGTCTCCTCACCACCATGTCTTCACTCTTCTCCCCATGGCAGCTCACCTTCATCGGGGGAGAAAAGATGACTGAAGTCTTCATCCATTCCCTCGAGCTGGGCCACTCAGCGGCCACAAGAGCCATCAAGGCATCAGGTCTGTAGCTGATTCTGCACCTGCAGCCTCAGGGTGGAGGTCTGCAAACCACTGGGCTGGGAGATAAATGGAAAGAGGTGTCTGACCCCAGGCTGCATAATGAGCAAAGCTCCAGACATCTTTTCACAAATTTGGAAGTAAAGCATCATAATTCTTGCATTCCTCTTCAGCAAAGAAGCCGTGGCAATGCCGTGTTGTTTTTATTGCTGTTAACTCTAAAACGTATTTGCAATAAAACAGCTTCAAGTCCATTTCCCTCTTTTCATCAGCACCTGGCCAAATGCAGCTCTTCATCTTTTCTTTTTGCTGCTTTCTGTTGTTTATGTTTTGTCCAGGAGCATCATTTATAAAATCCCTCTTTCCATTTCCTTAGTTTACTGGGCAAAGCAAGGTTTGTCCATGTGCTTGGAGCCTTTCTGCAAGGGAGATCCATGAGCTTTTATGCTAGGAATTTATAAAATTATCAGAGAGAAGAGGCAATGGCAGAAGCATCCGCCTGCAGCATGGTCTCCAGCTCCCTCCTGGGTAGCAGTGACAACATGCTGTTTGGTGCAGTGCAGCTCGCAGAGACATCTCATGGCCAACCAATAATACTGCATTTAAACTCATCACTTAATTTTTTTTAACCAACTGCTTTTCTGTGATCTCGCCTTGTCTTTCTAAACAGAGCTCATAAAATATCTTCCATGTGAAATGTCACCACCCTGCTCCCCCAAAATACAGGCTTGGCCAAGACCTCTTCCCAATAACTCGTGAAACCACCAATCCTTCTGACTTTGATTTTTTTTTTTTTTTTCCTTGGGTTGTCTGGCAGCACACCACTTAACATCTGCAAAAAATTATCCAGGGGAAAAAAAAAAGTTACTAAGTGTCAGGCACAGTATTTCAAGGCTAATTTAATGTGGGCAGAAATATGCCCGGAAAAACAGGAGCTGGGTTAGCAATGCAGCCTTTTATTGCTTTGTGTTTTCCCTGGAGCACTGACCCCTCTGCACCGGCTTAGCCAGCACTGCTTTCAGTTTTGCAGAGCTGCTTGTTGTGCTTTGTGTTGAAATTTGTGCACTGGATTAATTGCTTTCTGGCAGCTTTTAAGCCATCTTTTCTTTTTGCCTTTTTGCTCCACAGCTGTGTTCAGCAAACCATTTTTTTCTCCCTTTCTGTAGGTACTGAGTGTGCTGCTGTATCAGTAGCCAGCTGAAGAATGGGCATAAAAGGCCACTGTGTGACATTTGCTCCTTGTTTCGTGCAGGTCCAGGCAGCAAAAGACTGGGCATAGATGGAGACAGAGAAGCAATCCCACTAACACTACAGATCGCCTACAGCAAGGTGAGTGCACAGGACTGGCACAAAGACAAATGGGGCAGAAAACCACTTCAGTGCTGGGCAAACATCTCTCTCTGCCGGGGGCTGAGGGAGGCAAATGCTGACAGTCGTGCTGGAGGACCCTGAATTCAAGCCCAGACGAGCCAAACTCAGGCTAATTGTCTACTTACTGGCTAATTGGGGGTGGCATTCCACTCCTGTTCAGCCCAGTAAAATAGGGAACGTGCAGTCAGTTTCCATAGACTGAACATGTACTGGGTGCCACTTTACACTGGTGGACTTTGCTTCCAAGGAGCAATCTGCTGCTGCTCACAGCAGTCCTCCTATTTTGGTGGTCCCTTTGCAGTTATTTAGTGTTAAGCCTGGGCAATTTTTGTAAATCCAAGGTTAAATCAATTTGAATGCCTACTCAAATGTTGTGCAGCTCCAGGTAATTCCAGATCTGAGCTAGTTCAGCCACATGGTTAGGGGTGGGAGGCAGGGTAACATCAGCCTGGAGCGTGGCATCTCACGGGCTTTGGTTGGTCTCTGCAGACAGCCATCAGTGGAAGAAGTCACTGGAATGACGTTGAGAAGGTCTGCACATCTGTCAACCTTAGCAAAGCCTGCAAGAAGTATGAAGAACTAGGTGGGTAGAGGTGGTCTTTGTGGCTTTGCATAAGGAACAATGGGAGGGACTGGTGGAGCAAGAGGATACTGTGGATCTTCTCGCTGGAGCAAAGCAGGGATGTGTGAATGCAGGAGAAAATACATGGAAGGTGCCTGGTGTTCCCTGAGGTATACTGTAGTCCTTGGCTGTCCTTAGCACCACATCAGGGATGAAGGCCATTTGATTTCCCATTGTCTGAAAGCTTCCAGCCAGAGAAATGGGATGTCCATTCGGGAGAGGGCTGGGACAGTCCAAACAGCAGGATGGTCACTGGAGAGTGGTGCTTTCCAGAGCAACGGTCCTTCAGTAAGGAGAAGGAGAGACAGGTAAAACTGTTGTCAAATGAAGTAGGACCCAAGGGAGAGGCTGCTTGTCCTGCTGTCTGCAGCAGCTTTCAGCAGGCTCTCGCTGAGCTGATGCTTCAGCCTGTTTTCTTTCCTGCAACTCAGAGATAGCTGGCTGCCACGTGATTTTGCTTCATAAGTTTTTTTTTTTCCTAATCAAGTTTCCGATGGGGTATTAATAAGGCTCAAAGCAGCAAAGGTTTTGCAAAGGATTTAAAAGCAGCAAGGTTTTTAGTCTGTGTGTATATTTAGAAGCAATACCTGTTCATTCTTGCTTAAGAACTGCTGTTTTGGCCATCAGACACCCAGGTCTGAGTAAACTGAGGGTTTTTTTTTTTAAGTTCCTCTCCTTGTGTGCTTTGTGTCTGGTAGGTATGTGGTTTGTGAGCAGAGTAGTCCAGGCAAACGGGTGATCTGCCAAATAGGAGACAGCTCCTACATGCCTCCCAGAGCTTGACCTAAACCTCTATCCCTCCTGTTGCTACCCCATCCATGAAGCCTTTCAGACAACTCTGGAAAAAAACCAGCAGGAATTAATTTCTCACCTCCTCTATACATTTTGAGTTGGGTGTTTCTGTGCTAGTTCAGGAGCTTTGCTTGTGCTGCCAATGCTGTGGGTTTGCTTCAGGGGGTGTCCTCAGTTCCCCATTGGGGAGAAGCTTCTCCTTCATGAATCTCTTCCTTCCAATGGAAACCCAGTCCCCTTGATTGTCTCTGCTGTTTTTCACATTCAGCAGTTTGACCACAGGATGTCACTGTAATTCCAGACACGAAAAAGCATCTCCAGGTGGACTGCAGGAAGGGCCACGCTGGGAGAGCTAGAATTTCCTCGCGACAATGGGCCAATGGGTTTTCTCCTGTCTAGGTCCTAGGATAGTTACATTTTGCTGCTTTGTTTGGAAAGCAGTTGGAAATTACTCTGAAATTTACCTCTGCCTCTCTGATTGCTTTCTTTTCATGTAGGTTAGCACTGGGGAAGGAATATTGTATTTTCCTTGACAGTGAGGTCCTGCTGACAACCACTGTCTCTGGGATGCTTTGAGGGGTGGAGGGACCACTTGGGTTCCCACCAGTGGCCCAGAAGCCCCAAGTGATAACAGTTTTCTTTTGTTACAGCCTCAAAGACAGAGTGTCTCAACTTGACCATGACAGAGGTGGTCAAAAGGCAGAACTCCAAATCCAAAAAAAGTTTCAATCAGGTAACTCAAATCATGGTGCTTTTACACTTGATAACAGGATGTCAGCCTGACTCAGCTGGGAGGGAAGCAGGGCAGGAGACAGTAGCTCCTTGGGGGATCTGTTTGCTGTTGGCCACCAGACCTGCTTTAGGGGTGTCCATCTCCCCTGCTCTCCTTCCCTGCACAGGGATAATGCACTGATCGTGGCAGCTCCCTCATTTGAACTCTTTTTCTATCAGCAGATCAGTGTGTCCCAGATAAAAGTAGACAAGGTGCAGATTATCGGTCTCCAGTCCTCCTTCGCCGTGTGTCTGGACCAGGATGAGCAGAAGATCCTGCAGAGTGTAACCAGGTAGGAACTGCAACGTGGCCAGCCGCCTGCTGCAGTCAGCACTCCTGGGATGGTGCATCCTGTGCGTAAGGACTCGTCCATGAAACCACTGGGGGACGAGGTCCTGAGCACCATGGTGGATCTATGCCAGATGCCCAAGCTGGGTGATATAGCTCCAGGCTCTGTAGTGCAGCTGAGCTCGGGTGGGATGGATGGTTCTGCTCAGATCCCAGCAGTAGTTTACCTTCATAACTGCCACAGTCTAAAGGGTGGCTCCCAGTCAACTGTTGAACTCTGTAAAGACAGCTCTTTCAGCAAGACCAGTCATAAGGCAGAGGAAAGCTATGCAGCTTAAATGAGGTGTTTGAAAAGCACTGGGCATATGAGCAGAGCCTTCAACTTCTAAACTTCATTTGGGTTCTCCACCACTTTTGGCATACCCGTTGCAGAAGGAACCCGTGATCTTCATGGGAGGGACTGGGGTAGAGCAAGAATTGTTCCTTTGACTGTTCATCCAGCAGTTATGTCCCTAGGGCATCAAGTTGGCTCCCCAGGTGATGGAATTTGAAAACTCACTGTAGGCAACATAATTCCATGAGCACAAAGAGATCAAACCAGTTGATCCACGAATCTTAAAAATGTGCAAGCATTTTAATTTCTCCCTCAGAGAGAGCAGAACTTTGCAAGGTTATGCTGCCTCCAATGGAAAAAGATTTTGGATCTTATTTCTTAAATAACCCCAAAGAGAAGTGTTTTACTTGTTTGTTGTGCAACTCAGGGGGCCAGTGGGAGAGTTCAATGCATGAAATGGAAAAGGAACTACTTCCCTCTCCCCAAAACTTGGGGGATGCAAAAGTTCTCATTTTCCCTAATGAGTTTCAGAAATTACTTTTTATGAATGCTTCTGCTCTAGGTCTCAATCTGAGCCAGCTTAAAGACCTGAACTCTCAGCACTCATACTCCAGTCCTGTTAAAGATTGCACTGATTCCTGTTTGCAGATATTTCTGCTGCACCTGAGGACTGTGATTCTCAGCCACACACCTTACTTATATCTTGGTTTCTTTTTGTTCCCTTGCAGGTGTGAGATCTCTGTGTGCTACAAACCCAGGGACAGTGATCTCTCTGCACTGAGAAGGTCCTCTTTGCCTCTTCAGGACCCCTCCGAGTTTCATTCTCTCCTGTGTTTACCCATTGCCACCTTCAGTGGAGCACTGCCATAGAAGAACCCTGTGTCCTCTCAGACCAGACTCCCATCCAACACCAATATAGGCTCAGAAAAAGGAAGCTGACTGTTGTCCTTTGGGCTGGAGACCCAGCTGTTCTTGTCCAAGACATCCTGCAGCCAAAGCGTTAGTGTGGCTGAGCTGCTCCTGGTCTGGGCTTAGCCCATCCTTGGGAGATGGGAACATTGGTGTTGTGTTCTGGTATCTCTCAGGGTTCCTCAGCAATGGGAGGAAAGTGGTTTTCTTGAGATGTCCACCTGGTTCAGCGGACTGCCAACACCGGCATTGGGAGGGCAAGGCAAAGACAGTGATATTTTCCTGCCAGCAAATGGTGCTGTGGCTGTATTTGACAGTGACTGCAAGGCCACTGTGATCTGGGGGAAGATCATGGGGGGACATTTTGGAAAATGGATGTCCTTGGCTGAGTGGTGGTAGGTGGCCTTCAATGCATGTGGAGTTGCAGATCACCCAACTGATGTCCTGATGGCATTTCACCTGTGACAGGTCGAGGATGCTCAGGACAGTTCTTTGGGGACAGGCTTTCTCAAGGTTTCCTTTAAATTATGAACCTTGGGTGTCTTGCAGAGAAATAGTTCAGAGCAGAGCAACCCAGCTGAGGCCCAGAAAGACCCCAGCATGGGTTGTATACTGCTGCTTGCGTTCCAGTGAATTGAGTGCAATAGGCCATACCAGGGCATGGAGAGCTTGTCATGTTTTTACTGTAAATCCAGGACTTGCAGCAGGTGAACTTCCAATTTCTGCAGAATTTCTGAGTCCACCCATGAGATGTACTCACTGTTCAGCCCACGTTCTTGCATCTCGCTTCCCAGCACTGTACGCTAGATACATCCCAGTGGCTGAATCCTCAATGGTTGCTTGAAATATGGCAGGAACCATGCTCACACTCATAGGAGGGAGGGAATTACTAGGGAAACCACTAGGATTGCCTTAAGCTCACCTGAAGAGGCAGCTTTGCTAGAGAAGGACCCAGCACCAAAAACACTAGTGACGCTTGCAAGCGACAATAGGATTTGAGATTCCCCCTTCCCTGCAAAGAGGCTTTCCACCCTCTTCCTTCTCTCTGCAAGGCTGTAGGTACAGAAAGGTGCAATATTTGGGGGTATTTAGAGGTATTCTGACCCCATGAGCAAAAAAAAAAAGAGACTAGTTTCATAGCCATCAAGCTGTTCCTCAGTAGTTTTTGGTGATTGCACTAATGGTAACAGGCAGAAGAGCATGCTGCCTGTTGCAGGCTAAAAGGATCTTAATGCCAAGGATATGTGCTCCCTGTAAACGTCTGGAAGGGACCCCTAATACTGGTGGGGACTGCAGGGCTCAGCCACAGCGTGATCAGTTCAGTGCGGGTCCTTTAATCCTCCAGAAAACAGGACATGGTCAGCTCTTAGCGCTAGTTACAACATGGTTGGGCTCTGTCCCCAAGGGCTGGTGGCACAGCAGCAGTGTCATTTGAGGTTAAATCTGCCAGGAAAAGGGCCAGAGCCCCTGGGGCTTCGGTTGTCTCAGAGAAGTGTGGGTCAGGTTTGTCTGCTGGATTTCTCTACATCGCTCCTGGAAGTGTTTGGTGGATCCCTCCTGTGCCATCAACTCTGATCCTGGCCCCGCTGGCTGCTGGACCTGCCTTCTGTTCCCACTGCCTCTCTTGTTTGGGGACAGCTTGGTCTGGGCCCAGTGGTGAATATCTTGGGTTAAGAAGGTGCTAGCTGGCTCTTTGGTGTCCTCAGCAGCTCTGGATGCAGCTTCTGCCAATGGCCAGAGATGAGCAAAAACGAGACGTGAACGTGCTCCCGAGGCCTCTGTGCTTCATCCTTCTACTTGAATAAACCATCCCAAGGATGGTGTTGCCTTGTGGACTCCAAGAAAAGACCTTCGTGCGGGGCGAAGCATCACTTGAACATAAGCAGGCGCTCTGGCTCCACCATGATGTGAAGCCAGCTTGGACTCCTGGCAAGCACCCGCCTTCCCCGGCCACCCACCAACTCCATGAGCACCCATCTTTTCCTATGTGCATGGAGCAGCGTCCATCCCTTGCTCACAGTATGGAGTTGGCAGGGACACCAAGACACTGGTCATGGTGGGCTGTCCCCTTGCTCACAGGGTGCCTGCGGGGCGATGTGGGAGCGTGCTCTGAGGTCGCTGCTGTGCACTTCTGCACATCAGTATTTTAAGTCCAGTAGGCTCAATGGATCAGACAGATTTTAATAGCTCTTTCCATGCACTTGGAAAACGTTTTCCCACTGACTTTTCATTTCCCAAACAGGTTTGTGTGCGTCTTCTCAAATGGGGCTGAAATTTGACGCTGTTTTTTTTGTTTAATACTTTAAAATAGCACCTTATCCTGTCAAACCATTGCTATTTGTGAACTTGATATCCGTGGCTAAATATATCCCTGCTGCTGTTAATGATATAAACCTCTTTGGTTTCAGCTGGCCCTACAGAAATACTAGAGAGGAGAATTTCCATCTCATAGAGAAAAACAAGCACAAACTCTAGGGACTCATAATCCTGGCTAAGGTTTTGACCTCTGATGCTTTCTGGAAATGGAAGAAGTCTGAGGTTCTTTCAGGTCATCTTTGTACATATGTGCAGCCTCACCAAATCTGTGTAATGTCTGTGCTGATCTGTAAAATACTGTTCAAAGAACTTTTTAAGTAATTGTAAAATATTAAATGTTGATTTATTTCGAGTACAAATACAGCGTTTGAGTCAAGTAATTCCTGAGCAGGCAAGAGGTGCAGGAGGAGGCTCCGTATCTCCAGGAGGAGAGCAGGGAGCACCGGGGTCCTTTGCAGAGTAGCTGACCTGAGAGCAGGAAATGGCTCGTAAAGTCATTATGTTCTTCAGCTTGGTCCCAGAGGGCACGACAGGGAGACTTGCAGAGGTTAATTGAGCTGCTTCTGTTCTGTGAGCAAAAAGCCGGTTTTGATGTTGTAAATCCAAAATTGGCTTCATGCTGGATTAAGGAGAACAGAAACTAGCAGAGCTTGTGTGTGCAAGGTGAGATCTGTGCATACCTTTCCTTTCTAGGAGGCTCCTTGCCCTTTGCTGTGTTGCTTTGTAGAGAAATATGAGTTATGTCAAGAGCTGGGTGCCTGGCAGCTCCTGGGGCTGTGGGCAAGGTCCAGCTCCAGAGTGCACAGCAGAGCCCTGGGACGAAGGGTGACTGCTTGGGGGCAGCAAGTTTTTGCCCAGCAGCTGGGTATTACGGTATTTGTGACTTGGAAATCTCTTCTGCATCTTTGGGGATGCAGACTTTGCAGATGGAGCTGTTGCTACTGGAAGTACTCTGAAATATGAAATGACACTTGCAAATGTTTAACTGTCTCCAGTGTCACCTTATCTTCCTGTGGATATTCAAGGAAAGAGGCTTAGTTGGTAGGTGTGAGGTGTCATAATCAAATAAATAACATGGGAAGAGTCAGCTTAGCTCAGACGAGCCAAAAACCAGATGAGAATAACTTTTGTTAATCAGCACTTTGTTTTATGTATTAATTTTTCCACTCTGATTAGAGAATAACAAAACGTGTTTTTTAAATAAAAAGTGTCTTTTGAAAAGGCAAATAAGGAAAATACTTTATTTTCCAAGATGGAATCATAATCTGCTGTTGTTTGTTCTCAACAACAACAAAAATGCCCAAATCCCCCTTCCCTGTTCTTTTCTTTTTAAAAAGAAAAGTGGAAGGAGGCAGGTGCATGCTTAAATCCAAAGCAGAAAGTAAGTACTTTGTTCTAAAACGTGCATGACGAAAAGTTTAGGATCAAGGCTCAAGTCTCATCCTTGAAGTGCTGCATAGCTAAGGGTTTTGGTTTTGTAAGTACAAAAGATTTAGCAAAGAGCCGCTGATAAAATAAGCAAGGCTGGATTAAGGCTAGACTATTTAACAAAACTAGTTTTGTTTCTTGTAGTTTTGCTTCTTAGTCAAATCAACTCAACAGGGCTTTTTGCAACTCTCAAAGCATCAAAGGTGAGCTGGTCTGTGGTCCATCTGTGTCTGTGAGAGATGGGAAGACATTGGATAAGGTGTGTTCAGTGTTTCAGGCTGGGAACACCAACTTATGTTGGCTTCCCGAATGAGATAGGTTTTAGCAAAAAAAAAAAAAAAAAAGTGCCTTGGGGTTTTTGTATGTGTTAATTTACCAGGGTGCAGTGGCAGTTTCAGATAGTCCCCTGCTCTGTCAGGGGTTGTCACCCCACAGCCACTTCAGCCGAAGTTGCTGGACTCAGCACAGCTGGAGTGGGACATGCTCCACTGCCGGGGAGGTGGGACATGGAGCTGTGGTGTGGGGACACACTGCGGGGTGACTTCTCACCACCCATCATCAGTAGTGACCCTCCATGCTCCACTCTTCTCCAATGGCACTTTGTGCATAGCTGCTCCTCATCTTTACTGGTGTGATCCCCACGGCTTCTCGCTGTCAGCTCCACAAGGAGCCATCTTGGTGTGGATGCCTGTGTCAGGTACCAGTGTGCCACAGGAGGTGGTTGAGAGCTGAGTCTGACACCCCAGAGCCACCGTGGCTCAGTGCTGGCAGAAAGCACAAAGCTTAGCACATACAGGCAATGTCAATCAGGTTGCTCAGGGTCCAGGCAATGTTTGAATAGCTTCAGGGACGGAGGTGTTCTAGTGCACGAGGTGAAGAACAATGTGATCCAACACCCATCCAGAGAAGGGGTCCTTAAGTGGCCATTCCTGATCTGGCAGCTAATTAGAAACATATAGAATAAATTAGCATCGATAGGCAGGAATGCGATTGCCTGTCCTGGATTCACTGTTGCAGGGTTTAAGATACTCCCCTAAAAGTAAGAAAACACACATGCCCTCCTCTTCTGGCAGGTGGGGCAATCGAACCCACCTTCATGGTCCATGTAGATCATCATCAAGTTGTTTGAATGGAGACATTGCTGTGGGACATGATGAATACTCCCAAATAATGACAGTTGTATCTTGAAGCACATTGGGTGAGGAAAAAACACGTTCATTCCTAAATGTGGTCTGTTTAGACTGATTTTTCTTTAGCTTTACTGTCATGTTGGGGAAAAAGTTTATTTGCAAAGTTCATGTGGTCTGCCAGAGGTGAGCAGAGGTCTGCCAGGCCCAGAATGAGGACGGCTGCCTGGAGAAAGCTGGAACCTGCACCCAGGCTTGGTGTGCTGGGGCAAAAATAGCCCAAGCATTTGGTTGGCGATGGGGCACTTCACCTGGGCATAGGGACCTGCCCACAGGCTTGTGCAGCTTGGCACCTTTGGTCCCTTCCTCGTGCTCAACTAGTCTGCTGGGATTGCTGGGGAAAACCTTCCTCTTATACTTTTGTTTCCTGGTAGACAAATGTGTAGTTTAATGGGTGGCATTTCTAGGTGCCCCGCAGCAAGAGACCAGCAGATGGGGGACAACATGGGGCGTGGAAGCCCACAAGAACCTGGGGATTTGGGTTATGGGACCTGAATTGGCTTGTTTCCAGGAGATCTCTTGCAAGGAGGTATTTCAAAGGTGCTCATCTGTTCTCTCAGCTGTAGCAAGAGATAGCAAAGAGCAGAGTCAGGCTTCCTGGCAGCTCTCAGTCCCCGCATACCATTACAC